GAAAGAAAGAAAGAAAGAAAGAAAGAAAGAAATCTAGAGCAAAAAGCTGGAAAGAGTTCCTAAAATTGGTGGACTTGCACCCATTTGGATCAGGAGAGGAAGCCATACCGTGAAGTTAAGACTCCCGGGCTGGATTCTCAGCTCAGCCAGGACCCAGATGCCATTGGTGAGCTTGAGCGACTGATATAGCATGTCCTGGCCTTCCACGTTCCTCTTTGCAATGGTGAAGATGTTGTTACTCTGCAGCTTGCTGCTCGCGGCATCTGTCCAACCAGAAAGAAAGCAAACCAAATTTTAAACACTCACAGAGCTACTCCTGGCCCTGGGGGAAGACGGGCTCGGAAGATGAGCTTCCCAGCCTGCAAATTAAAAAAAAAAACTCCTAGCGTTTATCGTTCGGAGAATGGTCACAGGCATCACAGGGGAGCAGCTTCACAAGGCTGAGGGTAAAACCTCAATGCCTTGTGTAGCTCCTCGCCCTGCTCCAGGGCAAGCCAGGAGAGATGCCCAACTGAAGGTTGGAGCTGTTCTCTGCCATCGTAGAAGGCACGATGTGGAAACGCAGATCTCGGTTACAGGACAGCAGATTCTGGTTTAGCATTAGAGAAAACGTTCCCAAGAGAGGAGCAGCTGGACAGTGGCACCTATGACCTAGAGCGGGGTGGGCTACCCTTCACTGGAGGTCTTCAAGTGGAAACTCGGCTGCCCTCTGTTGCAGATGCTTTAATTCGGGTTTGCGTGGAGGAACACAGAGATGGCCTTCAAGAAGATATGCAGCCACCGTTAATGAAAAATGAGCTTAGCCCAGAAAAACGAGAAAGGCTGAGAAAGAAGCTCAAAGTTGCCCCATCTTGACTCTCTTTGGTATCCGAGGGAGGAAAAGAGAAACAGTACCAGACTTTCAAAATTCTATTACTGAATCAATAACAAGTTCTAGTATTTCTTGTGGTGTTTGTTTTCTGGCCTGGCCTACCTCAAAGGGCTGACAGTTCCTGCACTGGGCCGTGGCTAAGTCTTGAAGGCCTCAGCTCGAGGACTTTAGGATTCCTCAAATAACCAGACACGTAATGAAGATGGGATGTCAAATTCAGCTTTTCCCACTCCCAGCATTCGAACCCTCTAATCCACAGAAAGCTTAATTTCTCTAGGCCAGAGTTTCTCAGCCTTGGCCACTTTAAGATGTTATGACTTCAACTCCCAGAATTCCCCAGCCAGCATTTAATTTGGAGATGGTGCTGCTTAAAGCCTAAACACGACCTATATCCTGGAAAAAGTTTGTGAAAAAGTAGGTGACATTCGTGCTGCGGGTTCATACAACAGATTAACCTAAGTCTCAAATATGGTTGAATAGCTAGTGATTCAGTCTGTTGTGGGAACCCAGTCACTGGATTAACAAATCACAATAAGCCCCTCTAAAATTTATTTGTCTGGGCATCGCATTACCTGAACCAGACATTGTTAACCTGGGTTTAGGGTTTACTTTTACGTGTGAACAGCTTTTGAAGGGCAAACCCATCTTTATAAATATATGATTCTCTCTGGAAGAGACTATCAACTATTAAAACAACTTTAACAGCATTTAACCAAAAATATTGCTGGACTGGGGAGCTCCCTGCTAGCAATGCAGAAAATGTTTCCAATTCAAAATGGCCTGTTTTTGGATTCAGAACAATTGGGGGGACTGGTCAGGACAGCCTGTTTTGAGAAGGGAAGGTTTAATTCATACTTGAGATGGGCGTTTCCAGCTTGAAAGGTTTGGCAGAGCCTTATTCTCATCTCACCTGCGCTAAGCGGACAGTCTTTAATCTGGAACTGTGCTTCATTCTCATTGGGAATGTCCTTCCACGTGGCCAGGAACATCTGCCGTTCTAGCCGGAAAGAGAAGGAGGAGGGTTGAAAGCAAGAGGAAGATGCAAATCTTGCTTGTTTGGTGCCAGATATCTGTGCCCCAGCACTGCCATCTCCAGGAAAAAAAAAACCAGGATATATATACATAGGTAGTCCTCGACTTTCAACCACAATTGGGACCAGGACTTCTGTCGCTAAGCGATGCAGTTGTTAAATGAGTCATGGCCAATTTTACGACCTTTTTTTGCCCTGGTCATTAAGCAAATCCGGCTTCCCCCATTGACTTTGCTTGTCGGAAGCCCCCTGGGAAGGTCGCAAATGGCAATCATGTGACCCCAGGATGCTGCAACTGCCATAAATACATGCCGGTTGCCAAGCGCCTGAATTTTGATCATGTGACTGCAAGGACGCTGCAACAGTTATAAGTGCGAGGACTGGTCACAAGTCACTTTTTTCAGCACTGTTGTAACTTTGAATGGTCATTAAATGAATGGTCGTAAGTCGAGGATTATCTGTACTGGCCTTCAACTATCACTCCTTCTTGCCTGAAGACAAGTTCTAGTGCATCATCTATGGACTTGCCTGGATTGAAAAGGCTGGCATATTCAGTCCATAACAATGGCACCCTGGCCCTTTGCTTAACCCCCCTGCCTGCCCTCCTTCCAGGAAACATTGTTCAAAGATACACTGCGTCTAAGATTGGAAGTTCTCATTTCAGTATCCTGACTTGGCAAAAACCACATGGTCCTCCCTTGCAAGAGGCTGCAGAAAGCTCTCCTAAGGTGTCAAAGGGAGTCAGGCTAACCGTGCGAAGCATTGGTTGATCTAGCAGCTCAACCCTGGGTTAACCCAACAGAAAACACTGCCACAGAACTGATCTCCCTGCCTCCTGTGCCAGAGACTCTGAACCACAAGGGAGTGGCTTCATTCCCTCCGCACAGTGACCTGTCCACTTAAAGCCAACAGCAATGACCAGGAGACCCATCTCAGCATTTGGGGTATCCGGGGAACTGGGACTTTGGGAATATCCAATAACTCTTGGATATTCGCTTCTGAAGGTCCATGTATTAGCCAGTCACTTTTCTCCCTGCAAAGCAGGGTTGGTTCTAGACTGTCTTGTGTTCTAGACCACCTGGTATTCTCCTGATGTTGTAGAAGACTACAGTTCCACTCATTAATTTAACGTAATTAATGTAATTAATTTGATGTAGGTGCTGCCTGACTCTGAACGAGTCTGGCTGGCTTGCAATGGAACACCCCACCCCACCCCACCCCCTGCAAAATAAATGAATAAAAATAAAACACAACACAGTTCCAAAACCCCAACCACCGAAAACAGATAAGGTAAAAAAAAAAAAATAAAGAACAAGGGGACGAGAACAGCTTCCAACTTTTGGCCGGCTGAGGCTTATGGATGTGCTCTGGCCACGTGGGGAAGGCAATGTCCTTCTTGAAAGTTTAAGAAAAAGCGTCCGTTGGACAACTTTCCACCCGCCGAGTCTTCTACAGGCCAGACCCACCTACCCATTTTCCCATCTTCCACGAAGAGAATGTACACGGGATACAGAGTACTGAAGTAGAAGACATCGATGTTATTTTTCACGGCCACCTGAAAGTAAAAATAGAGTTTGGTTCCAGCCCATTAAAATTTCAGAGTTGGACTGTGCACAATCAAACTTTCTCCATCCTTCCAGAGGTGCTGGAACCAGATACATCGGGAAGATCTCAAGCTGGGGAAGGAATAATACACTCTAATTCTGCAAGACCACAGAAAGGTAGCGGGGGGCCGGGACATGCTTTACAACGTTCCTAGTCCTCATGATGACGACGATTAGTTTGAAAGGGGGCAGATCGTGTCCGAGGAAACAAAAGCAGGAAGATAGACTCATTTACGTTTTCCAGATGTTTTGCAATGATCATCAACCTTCCCATAACTTACAAAGCTGAAAATGGAGTTGGGGGAGCGGGGAGAGATGAATCTGAATTCTTGGCATAGTAGAATTAATGCTGGCAGCACCCGCACGACTTAAATTAATCGCAAAAAAACCTTCATTGGGTTTGGTTAGTTCTTGGGTGAGAGATTATCAGGAAATTCCAGGCTTGAGGCTAAGTTAGGAAGTCTGAGAGCGTTTGGAAGAAGGAAGTGGCAATGCCTTTCCATCATGCTAACACAGTGTTTCTCAACCTTGGGAACTTGAAGATGTGTGGACTTCAACTCCCAGAATTCCCCACCCCCCCCACCCTCGTGGGGGAGTTCGTGGGGGGGGAGTTCGCACACCTTTAAATTTCCAAAGCTTGGAAAAAATTTG